CCTCCCCTCCCCCCCGGGCCCCGGGGACGGATTTTTTTTTTTTTCCACCGCCCGCAATTACAACCCCCTGAACCACGCCACCCATTTACACACACACACACTGACACACACACACATACACACACGCACATGCACACACAAATTCACACCGTCGCCCCAGTCGCGGGCACTTTTTTTTTCGCGAACACGCACAACCCCCCAAACTGCGCCACCCATTTACACAAACAAATACACACACATAATCACATTCACACACACACACACAAACTGCGACCTTTTTTTTTTTTTTCAAAATTTGTTTTTTCTTTTTCTTTTTTATATTTTTGCGCAAAACAAGCGGTTAGAGAAATTTTAAAAAAAGGGTTGCAAGCAAAAAAATAAAAACAGGTGGTTTGGGGGGTTGGGGCGCAGGGGTGGGGGCGGGGTGCCAGGGGGGGCTACGGGAGGGTTTGGGTTATGAGGGGCCTGGAAGCACACAAAACACTCGTTGTCTGAAAACAAAAACATCACAAACGCCAAGATGTAATGATCGAAGCAAAACGCAAACCAATATAGCATGGATAATAGCAAAAAACTGACACATGGTGTCGAAGCCCCGCCAGTCTGTGGAAAGAATTACCAACTCGAAAATGCCGACGAACAAGCACACTAAAATACACTGGAAAGCTACAATCCCCGAAGTAGCAAACTGGAGAAAACTGCCTCCTGTAAAGTACACTATAATACAACATCATGAAACACTACATCTGCGCAGAAAAGTACCCACTGGAAAGTGGACTATAATACAACCTCACGAGACACTACGTCTGTCATGGATAACGAAAAACTAAAGTACACTGAGTAAGTCACGAAAATGCAAGTCCGTAATCCGTCAACGATCGTCGTGCGCACGCGGATCTCGCTCAGACTAATGAAAAACTCCTCCGTGGGACCGACCCCTGCCACCTCCTCGATCTCTCTGACGCTGGCCGCCACGTCTGCCAGCGGAAGGCTCAAAAGCGACGGGAAGCTCGTCGGGATCGTCGTCCATAATGACTCTCCTGCCTCTCACCGTCCTGATGGTTGCTGCTGCTAAGTCATCACGTCGGCGTGACTCGCGTGCCATAGGCAGACCATCAGTCCCTGAAGTCTCCCCCTCCTGGCGTCGATCTAAGGGCACGTGTCGGGCCTGCCTCAATCGTGTAACAACATCAGGCTCCTCCTGAATAATCGACGCCTCTCTCAAACCGTACGTCCGTGGCGGATCCGCTGCGCTCGTTGTGGCACCGCGTGTGCCCTCACGTCTGCCGTCACCGTCGCCACCACTGCCACAGTCGCCACCCCCTCTGCCGCCAAACCCTGCAGCTACAACATCTCGACGTCTCGCGCTCGTCGAAACCCCTCTCAAACCCGGCTGACGACCGGCACTCGCCGTCGTCACCCGTCTCATCTCACTCCATGGTCGATCTGTGCGACCGAACAACATGGTGTCCAGCAACTCCCGCGCACGCTGGGTAGTGTCTCTCCGTCTACGGGCAACAGACCTCGGGGTGAGGCTGCCGCCCTCCCTCAGAGTTGCGCTCAAGGGTGACGAAGGGTCTGCGGCGCCTCCAGATGGCGCTGCGACCGAACCTCCAAAAGGTAAGTCCCCTGCGGCCCCGACCGATGCCGCTGCGACGGAACCTCCAGAAGGTAAGCCCCCTGCAGCCCCGCCAGATGGCGCTGCGACGGAACACCCAGAAGGTAAGCTGGGGCTGGCTGGCCCCCAAGACAAGTCCTGCACTTGAGGAAGCTTCCCCTCCTCGGGGACTGACCTCAAAACACGCTGGTCGATCTCCGTCAAATCCCTCCTGCCATGGTCCTCCAACTCCTCAGCGGTCATAAAACCAAAAGGGAGGCTGCCTCGAGGCGTAGCCACATGCCTAATCTCCGGCCTCGTCCGTGACGGCGCAAAAGTAGGGACCGGGGGTATGCACGCGCCCCTGCCTACACATCGCTCCTCGGCCGGGCCACCGCCATGTGCATGATGCCTATAACCCTCCAAAAACGGTGCCTGATGTGGCACCACTGGCCCCACAGCAGTGCGAACCACCAAAGTCTGTGGCATCTCCTGTCCATCCGCATCACGCCTGTCCACCTGTGCGGGGTCTCGCCCGCCAGACGTGGACATCGGATCGGCCGCGGGCGGCACCTCCGACCCGCCAAAACCAACGGCCCCCGCTACGGCCCCGTCCCCCCCGGTGGTCGGCGCTATCCCCTCCGCGTGCGCCGATGGGCGAATATCATCAATGCCCACTGACTGCCACGTTTGTATGTCCTCGTGACCCGGGGACATATGCACGGCACCCTCAACTGAACCCGCGGGCAGAGGCACGCCCGCGACCTCCTGCAATGTCTCCTCTGGCCTCAGCGGCACGACAGGAGGCTGCGCCGGCTCCGAACGTGGCTCCTCTGTCGGTGCCAACCCGCTCTCGTGCGTTCCCTGCTGAACATTTATTCCTGTACTCGAAACCTCTGTCGAAGCCGCCTCCCGCTGCGTCGTGTCGTGAACCTCTCTGTAGGAGTATCCGTGTGGGCAGCTGGCCCCACGTCAACAGACGTCGTCGTATATGTCCCCAGTTGCCGTTGTCGGTCCTTGGCCGCAAGACGGGCGAGCTCCTGCGTCCTGGGGTCCCTCTGTGCCATGAGGCATGCTCGACGACTCTCAAGCCTATCCAACCTCTCCTCAGATGTCTCTCCAGGAGGTGTGCGATCCTTGTCTCCCTCTGCCCCCGACATCACCTCTCCGCGCATGGCAGGGGAGAAACTGTTCGGGTCCAGGAGGCTGATCTGTCCCAATAAGGCCTGCATACCCACACTGATGTCCCCACGGGACTCGCTCTCTCCACGGGGAAGACCCACGTTCTCTCCCGGGGGCATACCCATATCGCCAAACTCACTGAAACCGCCTCCGCCGCCCATCGGTATCCCCTCAACCGCCGCATCAACCTCGGCACCGCCTCCACCTCTGGCCAGCGCACCACCATCTCCACCAACCAACCCCTGTCTGTCTCCGTCGTCACCCTGCACCGGCATAGGACCGCCCTCCAATCTGTCCTCCAATCGCTGTCTCGGGCCCCTCACCAATCTCTGCAATCGATCTGAACCGGCTGGCTGTCGATGAAGCTGGTCTGTCGAAGTGGGAAGAGCGGTGGATGATGTCGTGCCAGAGCGACCCAGAGGACGATGGCCAATCCTCGACTCAGCCCCCCTCGAAGGTGCAGACCCAGGATCTGTCTCCCGCTCAGCAGGAAGCGGAGCAGTGGACGTAGGCCTCGGACGCTCTAAAGGGCTCCCATGACGGCCCCCAGACTCCTCCAAATCAACTCCAACGAAAAGGTCATCTCCGCCACTCCGTCTGCGGATGTCCTCTGGGTCGCTCCACTCATCACGCTCAGCCGCCGCATGAGTGGCGCTAGCAGGGCCCGCCGGCTCGTCCTCGTCCTCGTGACCCTCGGAATCACTGTCGTCTCGAGGGTACGGGTGCAATGTGGCTGCTCGAGTCCCAAAAACATCGCCCACATCACCCGGAGGAGCTCTGGACCCACATGGGTCTCGCTGCCATGAACGTCTCTGATCCTCGACCTCCTCCCGCGTCCTGCTCTCGTCCGTCCCCTTCCACGAGGGGCGAATCCCGATACCTCCCTCCACGTCCAACAACGACTCATCTAGAGTCCACGGCAGCGCGAACCCGCGGCCTGCCCACTGATGAGAGAGAAGGCGGACGTTGGCTGAGATCTCAACCAAATTCGCGACCTTCTCGAACTCAAGCCGGTTACGCTTCTTCGTCTGTACACCCTCGTGGACGACCCAATTCCTCTCCGCCCTGCACCTCTGTGCATCTCTATCTCCATCTCTCCCCCCCCAAGCAATCGTCCCCCTCCGTGTGTGGAAGTCGCGCAACTGTGCACATGCGGTCGCGTAGTCGTGGCTCGCCACACTGAACCCTGTTTGCGACAAGATGTAAGTCTCCGCCTCCCTCACCAAACTCGCGTCGTACTCGCTGACCACGCCCTCGAAGTACCGCAAGTCCCGCCGACTGGGACAGAGAAGGTGAGCAGCGGCGTCTGCATAATGTAGTGTGCAAGATCTGCCGGAAGTGCACAAACCTCCTCTGCTACCTGGCGTGCCAGATCTTGGGTCCACTCAACCACCCGCGACATGTGCAGCCCTCCGCGGTCCAACCTGCGCAGCAGGTCGTACACAGGCTCCATGATACGGAACAAGATGCCCATGGAATCCCACCAACTGCCATGTCGCACCTGCCACCTGACCCACCTAGCCAACTGACGAACGGAATGGTTCCAAGGGACCATACCCCAAGCATCGCCATCCACCGTCCTCTCCAAAGCTGACCTAAGTGCCAGCAAACGCTCCACCATCGCGAACACGGATGCAAAACGTGTCTCGCAAGGATAGATGAGGCCCATCTGAGTGCTCTCCCCCCGGAAGATATGGAGAGCGGCGCCGTGCTCCTTAATGAAGCGCACCACCGCTCTCCCCCTCACGATGATGTCCTTGGACCACGGGCCCGAACAGCCAATGTCTGACAACATCTTGTTGCAGACATGCACTGCGCATGAGAGCCACGTGATCCGTCGATGCTCCGGCCTCTGTTGGGGCCCCTGGAGCATGTTCGCCGCGGCGACGTACGCCGAGGCGGAGTCGGTGCAGATAGCGTTCACCCACTTAGGGGAGAAGTCATCGAACACCTTGATCCAGCGCGCCAACACATCAGGTGCCCGATCCCGCTCACCCTCCCTGTTCATCGTCCGGACGAGCATCACCCCACACGACCCGCCGGCAAGGAAGTTCACGATGGGTCTAGCATCGCGTGACTTCCTTCCGTCTAACATGATGGCGGCCCCCGTGACATAGAAAGGAGCCCTGACCTCCGCGAGATCAGCTTCCACATCGTCCGCCGTGTGGACAATGGTCTCTATGTCCGCGATCTCATTCTCTGAAGGCCACAACACCTTCACTGGCCCCGGCAAGTCCCTGAAGCGCCGGACGACGTCCAACTATGGCTCGCTCCGAAAGACGTTGAATGCCAGGCGCTGACTGTACACAAACTGCAGCCACTTCTTCTTGAACTCCATCTGCCACTTTGAAGTGAATGACTTCGTGATCGTGTTTTGTCTCATCCTCTTCTGTGTTGCGGCTGCTGCCGTCGGTCTGTCCCCGTCCTCTCTCTCCTTCCTCTTCCCCGCAGACGCACCCGCCTCAGCCGTATCCGCACCTGCCCGTGTACGAGCCGACACGTGCGCCGACGCAAAGTACTGGCCCTGCTGCCCCCCCGGCTCGCTGACAAGGCCTTTTCCTCGTTCCCTCCCTGACGACCCCGCCCGTGCAACCTCCTCGACGTCGTTGTCCACGTCGATCTGCTCCCCCGAGTCCCTCATCTCTCCCTCCCCCCCCTCGTCCCGTCGCGGATCCATCGCAGGCGCCGCACTATGAAGCTCCTCGAATTGTTGTATCCGCTCTAGGAACTTGTCGGACATCTTGTACTCACTGTTATAGTGGATGTCGACAAGTGCCTCGTCTGTCACTTTCGGACATCCCTTGCCCTGGCGGAAATGGCGCGCCGCCACGAACTGGTTGCCCTGGAACTCGTGGCCACAGAAAACGCAATTCAACATGCGATTGCCGCAGAATCTCTCGCCGAGACTCTGTCCTACGCGGATGTACTTGTACACGCAGCACTCTTCTGCGCCTTCCGATTCTCGTCCTCCCCCCCATCCTCAAACACCCGAGATTGACTTCGCGGCATCGTGCCCGCTCGCCTACGGGTTCACCGAAGCGGTCCGCCCCTTTCCTGTCCCGCGAAGCTCCAACTCCCGCCGGCGTCCCTCCCCGCAGCAGGCCTCGTCGTGCCCTCCCCCAGCTGCCTCTCTGGTTTCCCCCCCCCCCCCCC